AGAGAAAGAACGCATCAGAACAGTTGGAATTGCTTCTTATGAGTATCACTAAGTGAGTGGAACATTTGTGTTTCAAGCTGATACTGGAATTTATCACATAAAAGATGGAAGAGGGCCACAAGAATTTATCACAGAGAATATCACGGAGAAATTTTCTTAGAGGATTGGAACTGGAATTGAAAAACAATCAATTACAACAGAGGAAGAACAATATGTATCTTCCCAAAGAACTCTGCAAAAGAATTCTGGAGCAGATCATTGAACAGACAGGTGAAACATCACAAGAACCTACTACGAAAACAGGAAGACAAACAAGATGTCAAACATATACTACCAAAGGAGACAGGAAAACAAAACACACATGCTGTTAGTGGAAGCGGTACTTGTAGATGAAGCATGTTGTTTTCATGTGTGAAAACTGCCATAAGTGTGATAACTGAAGTAAAGATTATTTTAGTGGTAGGGTTTTATTTGTATTTTCATTGTATAGGAATTTATTTCTGTTATTTTTCAGATTTAGTAAACAGTTCACATGGAAATGTTGATGTTTATGCTAAACATTCGGTACATATTTGATATTTTATTTTCCTGTTAAAGTACACATTTTATAATAAGAACCTCCTGACAAAACAGGAAGACCAGAGATGACAAGTGTGTTCTGCCAAAAAAGACAGGAAATGAAAACACACATGCTATCAGTGTAAGTGATGCTTGTGCATGGAACATAAATGTTTTACATGTGTGAAGATTGCCTTAGGTGTGATAACTGAGGTAAAGATTATCTTTGTCATAGAGTTTAGTTTGTATTTTCATTGTAGTTCATTCATATAGGAATTCATTTCACTTGTTATTTTTTAGATTTAATGAGCAAATAAACAGTTGATGTTGAAAATGTTGATGTTTATTCTAAATACTCGGTACATATTAAAAATTTAATATTTTATTTTATTGATGTTACTTTCCTGTTAAGTACACATTGTATAATATAATTAAACTCATAAAATTCAAATAAATAATTAATAGAAATACTTCTAAAAAACAAATGTGGGTGTTAGATACCCACTTAACACTCCTTTTTAGGAAATATAACCTGATGTACCAGTTAAGATACTTGAGAATCAACAATCCAGGCCCAAACCAAAATTAAAGAGGGAAATTATAAAAATCAGAGTGGAGGGCCGGGGATTTAGCTTAGTGGTTCCACTGCCTGCCCCTTGTTGCTTTTCAAGCACAAAGACTCAAGTTTGACCCCCAGTACTAAAAAAAGAAAAAAAAGAAGCTGAAAATCAATGAAATTGAGACTAAAATATTTTTTAAATCAATGAATTGAAGGTATGGTTCTTTGAAAGAACAAATAAAACAGATAAGCCCTTACTTCACCAGACTTAACAAGAGAAAGACAGAAAAGACTCACATCAATGCAATTAGAAATAAAAAAGGTGAAATCACAACAGACACTGTTGAAATCCAAAAGATAGTAACTACTTTGAAAAATTATATTCCAAAACATTGACAAATTTTCAATCCCTAGACTTATACAAATTACCAAACCTAATCCAAGAAGACAAACTTAATAACCCAATAACAAACAATGAAGTTGACACAGTAATAAAGAATTTAGCAACTAAAAAAGCCCAAGACCTGAAGGATTCACTGCTGAATTCTATAAAACCTTTAAGGATGCTATTATCACCAGTACTTCTCAAGTTCTTCAAAGAAATTGAAAGGGATGGAGTGCTCTTAAATTCATTTATGGAAGCTAGCATCACCTTGATCCCAAAACCAGACAAAGACCCAACTAAGGTCAGTCTCCTTAATGAATAAAGATGCAAAAATCCTCAACAAAATATTAGCAAATACAATGCAGCACATCATAAAAAAGTTCGTACATCATGACCAAGTAGGTTTCATCCCAGAGATACAAGGATGGTTCAATATATGTAAGTCAACAAATCTATCACACAAACAGAGGCAAGGTCAAAAACTATATGATCATATCAATAGATGGAGAAAAGGCTTTCAACAAAATCCAATACTCCTTCATGATAAAAACCCCATAGAAAACAGAAAGAAGGACCACACCTGAATATGATAAAAACTGTTTATGACAAAATAACAGCCAGCATCATATTAAATAAGGACAAACTAAAAGCATTTCCCCTAAAATCAGGAACAACACTATCACCATTCTATTCAACATGGTACTTGAAACATTAGCCAGAGCAATCAGGTAAGAGAAAAAAAATGAAAAGGATACATACAGGAAAGGAAGAACTCAAATGATCATTTCTTGCAGATAACTCTACACAGAAGACCCAAACAATTCCATCAAAAAAAACTCTTAGAAGGGCCGGAGATGTAGCTCAGTGACACCACACCTGCCTGGCAAATCCAAGTTCCTGAGTTGGATTCCCAGTACCAGAAAAATAAATAAATAAATAATTTTGAAGAGGGGAAGCAGGGCTTTAGCTCAGTGGCATCATGCCTGCCTGGCAAGTGCAAGGTCCTGAGTTTGATCCTGGTACTGGGAAAAACAATAACAACAACAAACCCTCTTAGAATTAATAACCAACTTCAGCAATATAGCAGGATACAAGACCAACATGCAAAAATCATTAGCATTTGTGTATACCAATAATGAATTTGATGAGAAGGAAATTACAAAAACAATACCATTCACAGTAGCTTCAAGAAAAATGAAATACCTACAAATTAACCTAACCACGGAAGTGAACGACCTCTACAAAGAAAACTTACAGCACTCTGAAAAAAGAGATTGAAAAGGACATCAGAAAATGTCTCCCAGATAGGCAGAACCAATATTGTCAAAATGGTCTTACTCCCAGAGGTGTTATACAGATTTGATACAGTCCCAATCAAAATGCCAAAAGCATACTCTACAGAACTAGAGAAAACAATCCTAAAATTCATATGGATCCAGAAGACTCAGAATAGCAAAAGTAAGTTTGGTCAACAAAAGCAAAGCAGGAGACTTTACAATAATAAGCTATACTACAAAGCAATAGTGATAAAAATGTCATGGTACTGGAACAAAAAATACATGGATCAATGGAATAGAATAGATATAGAAAGATCTCCAGCTACATTCAGCTATTTGATCTTTGACAAAGGGGCCAAAAGCATATGCTGGAGGAAAGATAGCCTTATTCAAGAAGAGGTGCTGAGAAACCTGGTTATCTGAAAAAGATTGAAACTCAACCCATATTTCTCACCATATACTAAATTAAAATCAACATGGATCAGGTCTGGGGATTTAGCTCAGTGGCACCACACCTGCCTTGCAAGCACAAGGTCCTGAGTTTGATCCCCAGTACCACAAAAACAAAAACCAAAAAAAAACAACAACAAAAAAACCAAATGGGATCACAGTGGACCCTTGAGTTATGACAACTTGGCTACAACCAGAATTTTAGTTTTACCTTAGGAACAAAATCTTGAATTATGACCTAAATGCCAGTTGTGCTTCTCGATGATCTCAGATACAAATTTTACCCTTAAAGAATTCAAGAAAGAACATTACAACATCCTTTCCTTTATGGGGTTAACTGAGAAATCCTGGGCCAATGTCTCTCTAAGGACACTGAGATTTGCCTGTATACAGGACAGACTTTGAAGGCTGTGTAGAGGAGCCTGAGCCTTCAATTGACCAACTTGAATTACAGCCAGGCCTCTTGAATTTGTAAGTCAAGGGACCACTATATATCAGACTAAAAAGCTTCTGTATAGCAAAAGCAACAATTATTAGACTGAAGAGACAATCTACAGAATGGAAAAAAATTTTGCCAGCTACTCCTCAGAGAACTCTAAAATATATAAAGAACTCAAAATCCACTGTGGTGGTACATGCCTGTAATCCCAGCACTCAGGAGACTAAGGCAGGAAGACTGCCTTGAGTTCAAGGCCACAGTGAGTTCAGGGCCAGCCTGAACTACATAGTAAGACCCGGTAAAAAAAAACTCAAAAAATTAACCTAAAATTAAAGACCTAGCCAAGAAATAGGCAAAAGAATGAACAGATATTTCACAGAGGAAAAAGTACAAATAGTCAAACAAATATATGAAAAAATGTTCAACATCTCTGGCCATTAGAAAAATGCAAATTAAAACACTAAGATTCCACCTTACTCAGGAAAGAATGACAATCATTAAGAAATCAAACATAACAAATGCTGGCATTGCTGTGGTGAAAAAAGGAACTCTCCTTCATTGTTGGTGGGAACATAAACTAGTACGGCCATTTTGTAAATTAGTATGCAGATTTCTCATACTGAAATTAGAAATTCCATATGACCCAGTTATCCTTCTGCTAGGTATTTCCCCAAAGAGCTTAAGACATCATACTACACCAATATATGCATAGCAATGTTTATAGCAGCACAAGTTATAACAGTTAAATCCTGGAAGCAGCCTCTATACCCATCAATAGACAAATGGATAGAGAAAATGCAGTATCTATATATAATGGAATACTACTTGGATATACAGGACAAATTTGAGACACTGAAAAATGGATATACCTGGAAAATATAATGTTGAGTAAAATAAATCAGACATCCAAGCTTAAATACCACATAATACCTCTTGAAGTAAGTACAGAGATGGGTAGAAGGAAACAAGGGGATGGATCTCTTGCAATAGGGAAGTGGTCCAAGGGAACAAGAGCAAGGAGGGAAGAGGGTAGGGGAAAGGGGAAATAGATAGAAATAAAGATATATCATGTAGAGGAACCTAATAACCTAATCAATGTAAACATTCTATACCATAACATGAGGTAAGATTAAATATATCAACAAGAATGAAAATCAGGATAGGGGAATTAGAGAAAAAGGACGGAAAGAGACTAAAATAAAGAAATAAGCTGCAGTATGTACATGTACCCACTCTCAAAGATGATTGTAAACTACATGTACTGTAAACATGTAGTAATAAAAATTTTTAAAGTTAAAAAAAAGGTCAAGTTTCAGTAGTTCTCCTACTTACCCGTTCTGTTTCTTCTGATGAATCTTTCTGGAAGCATCTGAAACATGATAAAATCTGGTTGCCCATGTCTTTAACTCCCCAAAACCAAAGTCCATAAATCATAGCTGGTAAAATTTACATGTACCTAGGTCTGGGGGTATGGCTCATTGGCAAAACACATGTCTGCATACATAAGGCCCTCAGTTCCATTCCTAGCACACATACTGCCCCCCAAAAAAACTCTCTACAAAAACACCTCCCATGCAAAAAGGAAATAAAAGGAAGACCCAGGAGCCAAAAAAGGTAAAAGGAATAAGCTGGAAAAGAAGCAAAGAGAACTTCTGCTCCTGACAGTAGGGGAATAAACTTCATTTGACCGACTTAGAGCCTTAAAGGAGACAATGCTAGGACCAGCTTATGTCAAATATCTCTAATGTTTCAGTCATCTGTACAAAGATACTTCAGCATGTACATTACTGCTCAGAGTGGACTCTACTTACTGGGTTCAGACTTTTCATTGATGGTTGAACTCACATCCACAAAGTAACTGCAAAAATAACAAAGATGTTTTTTAAAAGTGGGCTACCAACAACACAGGCAACCAAACATCAAGAATTTCAGATAAGTAAAGAGAATAACCATCAGTTTCTGAAATGCATAAGGTTTGAAGGGCTTTAAGCTCTTATGAAATTAAGATCGCTACAGAGGTGGTGAAAAAAAAATCATAGGCAACAAGCTGCTCTGTCTTTACTGCTGAATTGAAAACTAAGGGGAGTTTATTGGCTGAGCATCAACTATTAGGGAAAAGGCTGTTTTCTGCCAATGATTTATTTCTACTTAAAAGACTTAAAAAAAAAAAACTTCTGAGAAAGGAGCCACAGGGCAGTAGGATGTAGCTCAGTGATAGAGAGCTTGCTGAGGATGCATGAGGCCCTGAGTTCCCACTCCAGAGGGGCTAAAGGAGCATGGAAGAAAGGACTTGGGAATGGGAAGACTAGTTAAAAGGGCAATAGGGCTCGACGTCCTCTTTAGGGTATTACTGCTTGGAGAGGGCCTACTTATTGGGATTGCCATCTAGGTAAATGGACACATAATCAAGTCTGTCTCATGAGGAGCCCATAAAGGTGAGATTAAATCATTCCTTTAAATCTTTCTACAAAGGACTACAATATATTACATATATAAATATATATATTGCTATCAATTAAAAATAAATACTAAAAAGAATGATTTCATGGCTAGGGATGTAGCATGTGTGGGACCCTGGGTTCCATGCCCAGCACTGCAAAAAATAAAATAAAAATAAAGAATGCAGTTAAGGCTACTCCCTGCAGTAAACCACAATGTTGAGGTCTCTTGTTTATCTGCCTCACAATTTCCCAGCAGCCTTGGCACTTGTTTTCCAGCAACCCATACAGGCCACCCTGTTGCTACAGCTTACCAGATAGCTATGCAGTACTGCCTGAGGGGAAGCCAAAGCAAACGTCCGCTCAGCCATTTAGCTCACTGCACAGCAGTTTATAAAATACACCATTATCAGCCCCTCATTACACAGATCCAAAATTCAGCCCAAAGGAATCATGCTGCATTAATAGCTTTATTGCTGACACCTGGCTACATCATGAGTGATCTTATCATTAGTTATCACAGAGAGTATAAAAATGCTAAAGGAAATAGACATAATATCTACAAGTTCAGATTTTATATATAAAGACTCAACCACTTCTTTAGGATGTTTAATTTGACCTAGAGATCAATACTGGGCTAACTATATACTTCAGTATTCCAAGATACAAGCTGGCTCATCTCCTTGATTAAATTTCCTATTTATCAATTAAATCTCTTACTATAAAGTATTTATAATACTCTTTTATTATTCAAGGTTTTTTAATCAAGAAAGCAAATTCTTGCTGGTTTTGCAACTATGGGTCAATATGACTTCTGTTATCAGAAAGTAGCATTATATACATACTAAAAAGTGATTCTAGTCAGGCGTGGTGCTGCACACCTGTAATCCCAGCACTCGGGAGGCTGAGGCAGGAGGATCGCGCTGTGAGTTCGAGACCAGCCTGGGCTACATAATGAGTTCCAGGTCAGTCTCAACTACATAGTGAGACCCTGTCTCAAAAAAAAAAGTGATTCTTCAGCTGGGGATTTAGCTTAGTAGTGCTGCCGCCTGCCTCACAGGTGCAAAGTCCTGAGTTCAATCCTCAGTACCAAAAAACACAAAAGAAAAAAAGTGACTCTTACTTATCTATCTTTTTGCACACATACACGTTTTTTTGAGAGCTTAGGCAGAAGAAACAAGAAATTGGAAATACAACAAAAAAAGTTCCACGACAGAGAGCCCCACCCTAATCCCTAAAGGCAAAATATCAAATTCTGGGTTGAATAATAATGAACAGGAGGAGTGGTCCAAGGAAAGCACTATCAAAAAAATATGTGGTCAAAAGAAGAAAGAGAAATATTGCTTGGCACATTTTCCATGTAAAATTTGCTACCAGGAGGACAAGTCCTACAACACGCTTTCAGGCTCACATTACTTTTACTAGGAAATATATCCACTGCAGGAAGAGTCAACTGGCTTAACCAGAACTGTACTATGAAAGGAAAAGAGAACAGATTACCAGACTTTGAAGATACATAAAAAGCCAGGTAGTGGTGCACACATATAATTCCAACATTTTGGGAGGCGGAGGCAGGAGGATAGCAAGTTTGAGCCTATCCTGGGCAACTTAACAATTTAGGAAGACCCTGTTTCAAAAGAGGCTGAAGATGTAGCTCAGTGCAAGGCCCTGAGTTCAATACCCAGTACCTCAAAAAAGAAAAAGCCAAACCCACAAAAAAAAATTCCTTAAAAAAAGATCTTCAGGGATTCTTAGAGGGACCTCAGGGAAAGAACAGCAGAAAAATAGCCTCTCTGAGATTTGGTGTCCAGAAAGAGAGGGAGGAGGGAAGCGGCCTTCAGGACCCAGCAAAGATCTGAGGCTAGAATCGAAGCCCATGAGGAAAACAAAGGAAGACTTCAACAAAGAAGAAAGAGGTAATGGGCCAGGGATTTAGCTCGGTGGTTCCACTGCCTGCCTCACAAACACAAGGACCCGAGTTTGATCCCTGATACAAGAAGAAACAAGGTTTAGACATCTCCCAGGAGAGGGTGACTGGCCGGTAACGACCTTGGTTAAAGGTCAACTGAGCTCCGAACTCAGAGCAACTGCTGGCTCCATCTAGTAGCTCCTAGAATGAGGGTGAGGCAGAACTGAGTTCAAGTCAGCAGGAGGTCAAGGAGCTCAATTCAAGCCAGCAGGAGTCACACTGAGTGTTGCAAGTTGAACAAATAGGGCTCCAGCCTCACAGCCAAGAAATCAGCCAGGCTGAACTCAGTGGAACTAAAGGTGGGGCTTCCTGGGATTATCCACTACCCCACTATAAATCCACAGCTGCCCTGATGGGATTAATCAACACAGATCCAGGCTGTGTCTGCCCAATTTGCCTACCAGTGACAGCAGAAACACACCTTGAACTACACATTTTTTTGTTTTTGTTTTCTTTTTTCTTGATTGCTTGTTATTTTCATGAATGTGAATATTGTTTCTAAGTTTTTTTGTTGCTGTTCATTTCTGCTCTTGTTTATATTTCTTCCTTTTCTCTTTCCCTCCTGTTTTCATCAGTTTCCCAGCCTGTGTAACCTTCCTTTGTCTTCCAGTCTTGCTTCTAATCTCTTCCTCTCCTTCTATTTCTCTATTTTTTCCCCAAGCCCTTTTAAATTTTCTCCCCTGAGGGTAAAATCACCATATGGAGGGGATATGATATTTACTGTATAAATTTTCTGGTTTGTTTTAGATTCTGTTATATAACCACAAAAGTAGTTCATACAGTTAAAGGCAGCAAATCAATAGTTACCATGGTTTGTTATTCTCTAGGCTGTGATTGATGCTATTGTCACTGCTGACTGTACTACTTTAGCCAAGGTGACATTATTACTCTAATCAGTTGTTCTTCCTGGTGTGCCAAAACTGAGATTGCCTAATGGTCATAAACAATACTATAGGCCAGTGCCTAGGCCAAATAGGAAGCACCTTCTCAGCCCCAATACATCAAAGGGTAGGATCTTGCAACAGTCTCAAAACCCAAAAGACAGCTACTCCTGGAAGATACCTCTGAGGAGTACTCATTTTGTTTTTGGAATTTTTTTGACATAGGGTCTCACTATGTAGTTGAGACTGACCTGGACCTCACAATGCAGCCCAGGCTGGTTTCGAACTCGCAGCGATCCTCCTGCCTCAGCCTCCCAAAGTGCTGGGATTACAGGCGTGTGCCACCACACCTGGCCACTCATTTTCTAATAGTGGCAATAAAGCTACTCACCACATGCAATTTATAAGTATCAACCCAGGAATTAAACTAAAAAGGAATAATAAAAAAATGAGAAGACACTTAAGCAAGATGCAACCCCAGACTTCCAGCTCACCAAAGACAAACCCAGGGGGCAATGAGGTAGAACAATTTGAAAGCCAATCAATCAATTGGACTCTAAAGTGGTAACAGTGGAAGTAACAAAGCAGATTAATGAGGTTCCAGAAAAAAGTCAAATTAGGAATAATTTCTCAGATAACTAGAGAGATGGTGACCATAATAAAAGAAGACATGGCTAGTGACTCTAGAGTGGATACAGATAAAAAATAGAGGAGCTTAGGAAAATTATGGAAACCATGAACACCCAACATAGGAGAGATATGGAATCCATGAAACAGATTCAAACAGATATCCAGAAGATTAAATATTCCACTGAAAATATATGCAACAGAATGAGCCAATGAATATCAGATTTAGAAGACAGGATTGCAGTTAGCCATCATAAAAAAAGATTTCTTAAAAACAGCAAAAGACCACGAAAAAACAATCCAACAGCTGCTAGATGATGCAAAGAAGAAGAACATAAGATTGATTGGAGTCAATGAAAAAGCAGAAAATGGTGCAAACAACATAAACAATCCATTCACAAAATTAAGGGTGGAAAATGTCCCAAGCATGGAAAAAGAATTTGACATACAGATAAGTGAAGGCATATGGAACTCCAATTAGCCATGACCAAAAAAAAAATCCTCTCCAAGGAATATAATAGTCAAGATTCCAGAAATTCAACATAAGAACAGAATATAAAAAGTCCCTCATTTGAACAGAGCTCATGCAGTACACGCCCAGCAGTGTGCAGCCTCAAACAGCAGTATCATGATGTTTCAGCAGAGCGCGTGAGACCACAGGCAGCTTTGTCTGGCCAGGAGCTCTCCAAACTCCCACTGCAATGTCCCCAAGCCCTAGCAGGTCCCTTCCTGAGCATCTCCGGTGACTCCAGAGCATAGGTTAAGGCAGAGGGGTGGCTGCACCACTAGAGAGAGTCTTTGGTAGCAAAGAGCCCTTGGTGTCTCACCTGACAAGGTGACAGAACTTGGGCCACCCTCCCTCCAGCAAGGTGGCAACACACCCATCTGGCTGCTGAGGTCTTTTGTTTTCAATTTTTTTTTTTTTTGAGACAGGGTCTCACTG